AAAAAAAGGTCATCAACTTTGAAAAAGTTGGAACTTGGAAACTTTTTCCACATTTTGAAAATTTTGTCCGAGAAATTGTTGGATTTTTGTCAGATTTCAAATTTTCCCGGGGCGTACGATAATTTTCTGCCGCGTACGATAATTTTACGCCCCTGTGTCGATCAAACGAACTAAAATCTCTGGGATCACTGGTAGGAAACTCAGTTTATGGCAAATTGCCTATAGCAATTGTTCTGCTGTTTCTACCTCCGTCGCATTTGTGTTCAGATTGCTGCATAAATCACGAATTTAATTTTGAAAATGCTTGTTAAAAATTAGTTCGATTGAATTATTGCATAATTGTTGCAAGTGTTTTATAATTATTGTAGTGTTCAGATATTTGTATATATATAAATATTTATATATTTGTTGAATTTTGTTTTGATACAAAATGGCGGAATACGAGAGAGTAAGGACTGGAAAACTTGTTTTGAAGGGAGAAAAAATAAAGTCAGTATACACAAAAATTGTTTGATTACATTTATATTAATCATTATCAGTAGAAAAGTTTGATTTACCAATTAATTTATGTATTTTCAGATCAAGGAAACGAAAATCTAAGAAACAAGAAACCAAAGAGAGCGTCACTATTGATAATGAAGATATCAAGCTTCATGGTATGTATACACTTTATTTGTTTATTATATTTTGAATTATTATTATCACTAACTTGTTATTATATCAAAGAGATAAAGATATATTTAAAAAAATTATTTCTCTTTTAATAGGTGGTTGGTGGAAGACCAATAGTATCAAAGAAATAACTGGTACAGTAGCCATTGAGTTTGGAAAACAAACCTACATAAAAGCTCTTGATAATGGGCTTTTTACGCTTGGTGCTCCTCACGCTGATGGCGAAGGCCCTAGTCCTGAAGAAATCTTAACAGCACTTCGTATAAGCGACAATTTAATAGCGTTAAAGTCCGGTTATGGTAAATATCTTGGCGTTGACAAAAATGGTGTTGTTGTAGGACGTAGTGATGCAGTAGGTGCAATTGAACAATGGGAACCAATTTTTGAAGTAAGTTTTTTGACAAATGATAACTCAAATAAATATCATTTTTTATTTTAATATGTAACATATTAATATTGATTAACTTTTTTTTATAGGGTGACAAACTTGCTATATTAAGTAATACGATGGGAAATTTCATTTCTGTAACTGACGAAGACGATGTTATTTGCCAAAGTAAAGTAGCGGGTTTATCAGAATTTGTTACTATAAGAAGTATTATAGAACGTGACAATAAACCTAATAAAGATATTCCAAAAGAAGAAGTTGGTTCCTTAGCTGATGTAGAAGTGAACTATGTGTAAGTATAATGACATTAATTTTCATATAATTAATATATCTATATAAATGTTAATAATAAATAATCTAATAATTGTGTTATTATGTTACAGACGTAAATTTCAAAAATTTCAAGATAAAAAACTAAGGATAAATAAAGAAGATCGATCTGCCTTAGAAAAAGCTAAAATGGAAGGAAATTTACATGAAACCTTACTAGATCGAAGAAGTAAAATGAAAGCTGATCGTTACTGCAAATAGATTATTTGTATTAAAATGGTAATATATTATTGGATTGCCTAGATACAAATTCTGTTCTGTACATATACATATTTATATGTATACATTAAAATTGTAATATATATTTGATTAGGCAATTCAGTAATTATATCATTAAGTTATCCATAAATTAGAGTCAATTTTGAAATAAATGAGCCATTTATTTTAAAAATGATCTTAATCCATTTGCCAGTTTCTTATTAACCATAGTAACATATACCACCTAAAGTTAGCTATCATAAAAAACATTTTATGAAAAATGGACTTATGTTAGATCATTTTCAAAATAAAAGCGGCTTAGTATATTATATGTAAATATTATATGTACATTAAAAATATAAATTGACACAAACTTTTTAAGCAACCCAATATTTACATTAACACATGCAGTCAACGGCTTTACAATATTATTATGTAAAATTGTAAAAATGTATTTTATTATCAATTTGTAATCTTAATTTAATGTTATATATTTCAAGTTTTTGTATACAATATATATCCAGCTAAATATTTTATTCAACAAATGCCGATTTGAATGTGTTAATTTGTTGTACAAATATATATATATATATATATATTATATATTTATTAAGAATATAAATATATTTGGTTGTAAAATTCATTTATAATACACATTTTTTACACATGTACATATGATTTGTATTAATGTAATGTAGCATAAATAGTATTGTATTCAATCTTTTCATGGATGTTATGATTGGTGTTATTTTTTATATTAAATCTTTCCAATTTATTATAATAAAAGTGTAGTTTTTTCAATTTGTTTTGTTCTGCTAAGTCGCTGTCGATATAAAATAAATGAAGTTAAAAATCATTTTCTTTTCAATTTAAAAAATTTCCCCTGAATGAATTAAATTAGCATGATTATAATAATATACTGTAAAATATGTTAAACAAATATTTTGTATGTAGGGTAAAAATGAAATATTCTAAATAGTAAAGTTGTTTAATTTTATATTTAAAGGTTGATACCACTGATTTATTTACTCGATCAGTTAACTCCATCTATGAGGAAGAGCTCATCACTTGGCATTGATGGTGTCGCAAAGTAATTTTTAAGAGATGGAGCTAAACGAATATTAAGCTATTCCTGAATAGGTATGTGTCCTTTGAAATACGGCGTTTTTTTCAATTTATCTATTTACATTATGTATGTGATATTGCAAAGAGATTTTTATAATTTTGATAAATATATATACATTATGTCTGTTTCGAACGGCGTCCTACAAAATGTTACCTTACGAACTTACTACAATGCGACGTATTTTTTTTATGTTTTAATCTTTTATACGTGTGCGTTTACAACATTAGTTTTCAACTGCATGCTATATATTTATTATTATTTATATTATTTATATAAATTTAAAATAGTGAAAAATATTTATTCGGAATGATAATTGAATGGTAATAAGGTTATAGATATAGATCATAATCAATTTTGATCAAGGTGAGTTGTGAAGTATTACAGCTTATAAAAAGTAGAATTATTTTTGTTTTATAGAAGAATAAAAAATAAATCTACAAGAATTTGTATATAAAAACTGACTAATTAAACAGTTAATTATAACCTGTATTTTTCAGATTCAATTAAAAATATTTGAGTGATATGAAAAGTATTGCAATTTTTTAAAATAAAATAGTTTATAATATGAAATTCCAATCAACAGTATCAATATCCATAGGTATAATATTTTTTAAAGGAAGCAGAATAGAAAAGATTTAATAGTGCGAGTAGTACGTTCATAAGCATAACAATAGTAGTTGATAACTATATTAAGCAACACATATCGTATTGGTAATATAGTCTTTGTATATTGAATAAATATATTCCATACTACCAATTACAATTATTTATTAATACTATTTAAGTACAATATTAGAGTAAGATTTCTACTCGTATTCTGCGACATATAAATTTTATAGTTTTGTAATTGTAATTAAATTTGATCTTTACAAAGAAAAAGATATTATCCTTGTATATGAAAAGAATTTATATTTATAATATTTTTGTTATATTAATTTATTATTTCTGTGTATAGATTATTGAAAAATGCAGACATCAACTAATCGTGAAAAATCTCTCCCTTCGCGAGGGTTGAAGCAAGTGAAAGTGGATAATTGGGGAACATTTTTTCTTCAAAGACTTCAACAACTTTATTTCGAAGAAGAGTTACTTGACTTAACAATTAAGTTTCCTACTAGTGATATAACTGTACAGGTATTATTATAATCAAATTATATCACATATATAACTAATTATTAATTTATCAAATTTAAATATTATTATAAAATATTATATTATATATATATATATTTATTATTTAGGCACATCGCTTAGTAATCACAACATGTACAGATTACTTTTTATTATTGGAACGTCAGTTAAAAGAAAAAGATGAGAATTTTGATGGAGTTATTATTATGCCACCAGATATGCCTTATGAGTGTGTTAAATCTATAATAAGGTAAAAATATAATTTTAATCACTATTGTACAGAATTATTAAATGATTAAAATGAAAATTTTATATAGTTTTATGTATACTGGACAATTGGAATATTGGAATTCAGAACAACATGCGTTGTATCGAACAGCACAAAAAATGAAAATGACGGTTTTAACTAAGCTGCTTGATGCACAATTCAATACAACTGCATTACAAGCAAATAGACCAATAAAATCAAATACTCCAATTATTTCAAAATCAGTAACGTTGTCAACTGAAGGAACAGCAACGACAAATGCATCATCGACACTGCCTGCTCAGCCATTACCTGGAAGGAAGTATGTACTAAAATTTGATTATTTTTTACATGAGTTGCATATTGTGCTATTTTCAGCTGGACCTTATTAAATATTTGTTTTTTATAACTCATAGGCTTCCAATTTGGAAAAGAAAATTAGAGTTACCTCCCACAATGCCAATTACAAATTATGAATTGCGAGGCTCAGCACAAAAGTCTAGAGAAATCACTGCGGGACCATCCAGATTTGATTTACCTGAAGCAGAAGAATTTGCTCTTGGAGTTTTTTCTTCGTTTGATGATATCACATATAATACAAAGCCTATTGTTCAAGCATCAGGTAAATATAAAAGAGATAGATCACCTTCGCTTAAATGTTCTCCTGATAGAGATGCCAAGAATGATTCAACGGAAGATGAAGAAGATGACACTCAGTTACATGAGAAAGATTCAAAAGAAATTAATTCAGATGACGATTGGACAATATCAAATACATCTGAACGATCTCAAGATGGACAACAAACATCAAAAAAGGTAAGATTCGATCTTGAAGAAAAAGAAAATTTGGAGAAATCATCATCTTGTCACACAAACACAGATGAAGCTATTAATAATCATGCAAAGATTATTAGAGAAGTGCTCAAAAAATATCCTCATCTGATAAAACACAACAAAAATATACGTTTAAAAATAATGCAAAAAGAAGCTAAGTCTGCAGAAGCTAGTACTCCTTGTAAAACAAAAGTTTCTTATGTTGTATTGAAATCAGATCACTTGATGTCTAGTAATGGTGATGATAATGACTCAAAATGTAATGGTAACATAGATGGTGGCGAAACTGGACCATGGAAATGTAACAAATGCGATTTAGATGAAGAGTACACAAATTATTATATGTATAGAAGACATATGCAAGATGTACATGAGGAGAAATTCGATCCAAGAGTTTGCGAACATTGTGGCTATAGAGCAACAAAAAGAAATATTTTGATGTATCATCTTTATACAAAACACAACGTGCCTCCACCAAAAAGCATGCGTTTCCCTAAATGTCAATCATGCTCATACGTGGCTCTTTCTGAAACTCTGCTCGTGAAACACGAAATAAGTTACAACCATCGTCCTACATCCCGAAATCATCCTTCAAACTTTGAAATAACTCAATGTTTACAATGTTCTCAAGTTTTTAAAGATACTAATGATCTCACCACACATGAAATAAATACTGGACATAGTAATCATGTAGAAGGCAGAGAAAAAGGATATCGATGTCCTCACTGTAGCAAAACTTTCGTACGTGTTACGAATTTGCAAGTTCATATAGACTGTTCCCATAAGGATTTACGAGATTCTGAAACGCCAGCTCCTGCTCCACCAATTTCTTTAGAACCGTCTTCGGAGGCAGAAGCTCTTAGTCACGTAGCAAGTGGGATAGCAACATCACTTGGAGTTGGAGATAGTGTATCCCCGGAAACTCAAGAAGTAGAGAATCAATCTGATTTCATAGTACCAGAAATGCAAATAGCTGATATTTCACAAACTACAACTTATCATACTCATGAGTTCGAAGGTCAGCAAATGATCATGTTGATCAATAACGATAATTATCAGCAACAGGATGGGAATGATCATCATCAACAACCCCAGCAATTGGATATTTCTGGAAATGAACAAATCGTAATGCAAGGTACAGAAGATGGAATGATCGTGTATATTCACGATAACGATGAGACAGAGAGACAAACGTATAGTGATTATCAATCTATAGAAATTACACAGGAGCCAGAGGAAATAGTTGAGGAAGTTGTTGAGGAGGTGGAAGAGGCAGTGATGGAAGAAGAAGTGCAAGAAGAACGATCTGAGCTTATAGATGAAAATAATGTTCATCAAATGGAAGATAGTATTCAATATGTTGAAGAACAAACTGAGATAGTTGAATATGATGAGGAACAATGTAGCGAAGATAGAAATAGAATAGAAGAAACACAAGAATCTGTAATGATTATTGAAGAAGAGCATGTGGAAGGAGATGATGAAGTTATTGAAGAAGTTACTGAAAAAGAAAATAACGAACAACAATCACCTGAAACAAGAGATTTTGCTACTGAGTGGGATGAGTATAGTAGAGATGCAATTGAATGATGAGTAATAAGATGCAATTTATATTCTTTATTAATTCATTTATATAAATAACAAATATGCTTTGCAAGTCGTTAGATATAAAGTTTTCGACTATGTTATACTAACATAATCATAAAGTTTTAAGTAGAAGAATTTATTATAATATTTTATCAAAGATTCTAGAAATGTATTGAGTACTCATTCAAAATGAAACAAATATGCATATTCTTATAATTTATTCGATTTAAAAGCAAAAACATTTTTAATATGTTACAGGTGGGTTTACAATTAATATCCATTTTTTTCATTTAATAATAGTAAGGGTATTATAGTTATAATTATAATAATAATAATAATAGTGATAATGATGATTATGATTATGATAATGATGATGATGATGGTGATGATGATGAGGATAAGGATAAGGATGAGGATAATAATGATGAATGATGATGATAATGATGATGATGATGATAATGATGATGATAATGGTGGTGTTGATAATAATAATGATGATGATGATGATGATGATGATAATGACAATGATAATAAAAATATAATAATTATATAATAATTGAAATTATAATAACCATATAATTATAAGAATGAAAAATATTAACGCTGATAAAAAGAAAACAATAAAAGAGTTGTTATGGTAGCAATTACCAAGATGATGGCAAGTATATAACAAAAATGAGGCAAAAGAGAATAATATTATAGTTATTTTTATCTGATTTGAAGGAATTTATATTCATTATGGACAAAATTTATAATTTGTTTTATTTTACAGTTTAACATGCATTTCTATAGATTTTAGAGTTTAAGAACTCAAATTATATATCAATTATGATTATATTTGAACGAAATATTATACATAGAAAAAAGAAACGTATGAAAATGTTAAATGAATATATAGTTATAATGAATGTGATGAAAGCGAGCGTATGTGTATGTGTGTTTATGTATGCAAAATTTAATAAATTTTCTGGAAGAATAGGATTTTTATTTTTCTATTTCTAACCATATAAAATAGTTTTAAATAATTTCTTTTATAAAGAACATCTCTAATAAAATTGTATTCATTATATCAAATATTAAAAAATAATTTGGAAAAATTTATGAAAAAAGAAGCTACGAAAAATCCATAAAATTAAAAAGTATCTGTAGTTCGTCTTCGATCATTTGACTTGAAATTTGCGCAACTGCATCATTTCTCTTTTAGATTTTTATTAATTTTTAATAATGATTAAAATTAGAAAGCAAATACTAATTACTATTTATTATTTACTATATTAGTAAGTTTTGAATAAATGTTTATATACATAAATGTAATTAGAAAAAATGTAAAAGATATATTTCTCTCATGTTACTTGTAAGATGGCGCTGAAGAATTAAGTGTTCCCTCTATGTTATATTAGTGATATATGCTTAATTTTAAATGGGAGTTTTTCGAATTTATGTAACGGTCAGTATTTTCTGTGGTAATTCAAAAAGTATTGTTTATTAAGACTTGATGAAATATTTCATTTAAATTTATTTGATACAATATTAATTAGTTTAAAAGTTTATTTATGTTTGCTTAATATATATAATGTTATATTTATAAAAATATTAATATTGGGTAAGTAAATCATAATAAGAGAGAACATTCATTTACTTTTTAATAATTTTTAGCTTGTTTCAGAGATTTGTTTGTTTATTTCATATGTTTATAACTATAATATTTTTTATTTATATGTATTTTAATTTAAAAAGTATATTGTGTAGAAACATTATGCATGTTTTTAATTTTTCTATGTTATTTATTTATACATATTAAGTTTTTTACTGTTTATAAAAATTTTTTCAAATTGTGATACAGTGTAATGTTACATTTTTAAATTTTTATTCCAGATATTACATACAATAAGGAATAGGTTTAAAAAAAATATAGTAGCTTTATATTGATTCATAATTACTGTGTTTGATAAAAATAATTTATACAATGGATAATTATTGTGCTCCACAGTGGGTAGATTTTACATGTAGTCCACAAGTACCATCTGATGATTATTTTGAAAAACATCATGAAATTTATGAACCTAAGTTACGTACTAAAGTAATTGAAGAAAATATCAATTCAGATAATGAGTTGTCAGAAATTATTGAAACACCCAGAAAATCAGTGCAATCGATAAAAGAATCCATCAAATCTATATCTACTGAAAATTTAGAAACAGAAATAAGTAATATTAAGAATACACCGATAAAAGTAATATATCCTTTACCTTATAATAATAGTAAACCAAGAATTATAAAGGAGACGAGTTATGACAATGTAATGAATAATGCTATGCAGCTTTGTAAAGATTTAATAATTAATGATAAAGAACATACTGACGTATTATCAACAGATGATCTATTTAAAAAACCAATGCCAGTTAAAACGAAAACGTTCAAGCCTGTGAGAATTCGTGAAATTGAGAATTCTTTTTCAGAGTCAATTCCTGAAGGAATGATGGACAGTGAAAATAATATACATAACGGAGAAATAAACAATACATCTTTAAATGGTGTTAATATGAATAAACGTGGCACAAGTTCATCGAAAAAAGTTATAAAAGATGTTGGTAAAATATCGAAAACCGACGATCATTTGAAATGTAACATGTCAGAAAATAATATCTTACAAAATGATCGTTCTAAAATAAATTTAGATAGCAAAAGTTTAAAATTGAAGTCTTCTAATTTGAAACAACAATCTTCTCTGGTAAACAAATATTCAATTTCAAAGATAAACACATGTAATAGACCTGTAGTAAGAAATAATCAAGAAAAATCAAAACCTAAGCAAATAGAAAAGGATCAAACCAAAACAAAATTTTTACGATCCAACTCTGCGGATTCTTCATCAGTTTTACATAATAAAATTACGCAGAAAAATATTAAAGTTACAGATGCAGATAGTACAGTTAAAATAAAACAAACTTCAAGATTATATTCTTCTTTTTCCAAAGAAGGAAAAGTACTTAGTCAAAAGAATAATGCATCCAAAAAAATGGTTACTACTGTTGTAGGTAATAACGGATCAGAAATTATAATTAAAAAAGAAAAAATTCTATTTTTTGATATTCCTATACACACTAAACAAAAAAAGATTACGTGTCCGATACCTTTCAGTTTTGAAAATCGCGATAAAATGAAAAAGCAATTAAAGCTAGATCAATCAGAGTCCAAATCCAAGTCAGTCCCTAATCTAAAATTATTAGATTTTAGTAAATCTCAAAAAGTTATGAATAAATTACCAAGTACAAAGAAAAACACACTTAGGGGTTTTTCTAGTAACAAAGATATTAACGAAAAAATAAAAGATATTAAACAATTAGAAAGAAATAAAAGTAATAGTACATCTTACATGCATTCTACGCTTCCATATAAACCAATGAAAACTAATTATTTAATGAAAGACAAAATCGAAAAAAAGAAAATTCCAGATAGTCAGAATAAAAAGGATGCAAATCAGATAAAAAAACCATTAGCACCTATTTCTTGTAAAAATATTCAAACTAACATAAATTTAAAAGATAACAAACAGAAAACATTAGAAATAAATAAAAAATGTAGCGAGAAAGAGAATAAACAACCTAATAATTCTACGTTTATTACAAATACTAGTACTTTAAATCAGAGCAAAGTAATCAAGTCAAAATCTTCTGTGATTAAAACAAATATCGAAAGGAAAGAAAAACAACGACATGTAATAGAAGAAAAGGTGAAGGAAAAGAGAACTTTACTAGAGGAAAAACTTAAAAAAGAAAAAGAAGAGAAGGAAGCTAAGGAAAAATTGGAAATAGCAAAACTTCGAAAGCAAACTGAAATAAAAGCTAGACCAATGCCAGTTTATAAACCACTTATTCGTGTAAGGTCTACAAAACCTTTAACCAAACCACAAAGTCCAGCATGGTCAAGTAAGAAAAAGGTTGAAAAATCAACTTTGTAGTTTTGTTCATGTAATCGTATGTATTAATCATTTATAATTCATTATTGTCTATATATTATTATATATATATATAATTTATTATTCATTTGGGGATCGTTTTTTAAATACTAACCATGTTTTTGTACAAATGTAATTATGTAAAAGAAATAACAAACGAATAATGCTTAAGATTTTTGATCAATAAGTTCTTTATATATATTATATAAGTATATATACATATATATTAGTTTTTATCATTTTTATATAAATTCTTAGTATATGTCTAGCAAATTACTTATTTGTTTGCGTTTTGCGACACGCGATTTTTATTTCTTCGCCAGACGGACGATAAGACGCAGTTATTTCCATAAATTTATCAAATGGACATAACACTTGACAATCAGGGATTTGAAGTTCTACTGCTTTTGGCGGAATGCCTGTATAATATAATACCTAAAAATAACAATAAGTTTAGATTAATCAGATAAATTGAAAAGTAAAATGAATATTGTACTGAGATTGAAGATATTTTCAGAAGAAGTATTTTAGTCTTATTATTTTTTAACTAAATACCTTAATATAATAAGTTTGATTAGTTTGAAGTAATTCTAATATAACGGCACTGGAAAATTGTGGAACATGTGGTTTATATACATTTAAAACATTTAACATGCTACCAATATTTGTTTCATGACCACTGTATAAGTAGATTTTGTTTCCTTTTAGTTTTCCATGTTTAGAAGCTAACATATTTTCTACCATTTCTGTTAACAATGGACCTAAAATATAAATCTATATAAATTTCTATTAATCTTCAAATTTACTTTTATATCAATCATGTATGCTTATATACCTCCAGAAAGTCTTTTTAATTTAGTATTTAAATTAGCAACTTCGTAAGAATATATGATGCCATCTTTGAGATGGCCATCTGGAAATACAGAGAGGACCCATCCAGGCAAGGGAAGATCCATCATCCATTCGGCCATAAAAATATTATATAAAGAATACATATCTAAAGGATTATTTATTTGTTTTCCAGACCATTTGGTTAGATTGGCATTCATTTCACTAAATTCAGCCATCTTCTGTATGACTTCGGGTGTTTTTAAAACTCTTTGATATTCCTCTGAATATCTATAAATAATCCAATTTAATGTTTATAAGATTTAACTGTTGCAAATTTGTTTGCACATAAAAGTTTATATTTGTTAAACATACAAAGGACAATCCATTGGTAATAAGATATTATCTTCAATCGTTGGAACATATGTATATGGGATCGGTTGCCAATTTATATTAGTGTCCCATTTTTGAATATTTATAGGTGGAAACAATCCAGCAAGAACAAGTTGTAAGGACATTTTTGTTCTAGAATAATCCGTAGTACGAGCTTTTACTTGCTCTGGAGTATAAATTTTACTCAAGAAGTTTCCATATCTGAATCTGAGAAATTTGCCTAGCTCATAAGCGCGTTTTTTACCTTTCTGAAATATATAAATAAATTATATATATTTTTAATAATGTATTTTTTAAAATACCATGTGTAGTTATTAAATCTAAAGATCTATAGACATTTGTCAATTCTCCAAAACCCATTGGATAAAAATCATATGATTTGTATAGATCATTTGGATATAATTCTTTATTTGGGGTTCTATCTCCATGTCTAAATATCTGTAAAAATAATTAAAAAGTTATATATATATACATAACTTGTACTCTTTTGTTATACAAAATAATAAAAAAGAAACAATGATTTCTTTTAAAATGTTTTCTTACCACATTCACCAACTTAATTTCTGGTTCCTCTACGCTGTCAGATACTGCTACAATTATTAAAATATTAATAATAATAATATTAATCAAATAAAACCAATTTTGTTTTATGTTCATATTTAGATCATGAAATTATGTCTATCTTAATTCTGTTGTACTAATGTACTGTATCTATGGCCTTGAACAATCAGTTTTATTAGAAAAGATATCACTTAAATATACAAAACTAGATTTCATAATTTTTGATTTTTATTTGATATTTGATGATGATTATTGAATTTTGATTGCTGATATTTATCATTATATATTATTATACTATCTAATCACTAGATTTTATGATAATTGAAATAAGCATTTCTTATTAAGATATCTTGTATCTATTATATTCAAAGATACGTCAAGATATTTTCACAATTTTTTGAATCCTATTATTTCATTGGACGACAATACCTTTCAGTGTAGTAACTATTTAAATCATTATTAGGGGCTATAAAGATTGTTTAAAGAATTATGATTTACACTTTAGAATAATTAAATAGTATAATAATTTATATCTACAAAATTTTATTAAATATTTGAATTTATATATTTGAAATTATTCAAATAATTTCTCATAGAATTTGAAGTTCCTTAAGATTGGTAGCCCTGTATCTGAGTATCTTTGTTACCGCGTCTGTGCATAAGATTACCGCACAGTAAACTATTGTTTTAAAATTTGACGGTTTAAGAAATTTAAGTTCTCTATTTATTTAAAAGTTCTTCATGAAATTATATACAAAAATATAAAAAAAAATGGCAAAAATTCTCGACGACACTGCTGCCATAATGCATTATTTTGATACGTGAGTAGATATAGTTTTTCAATTGTTTTATTATGTCAACATTCATTGTATGAATGGTCTTATTTCGTTTTCAATTACACATGTGACATTTAAATTTATAAAAACTATTTGTTGTATATGTAATATATGTGACATTAATTAGAAAAGGAATTGAATTGGTTAGTGGAGTTGAATTAGGAAGTGAGTTTGTTAGGAAAATATGTTATACTATTGAAAAATATATAATAATAAATTATTTTGTAGGATAATAAAATAGTTAGATGAAAAATATTTGTTTATATATTATAAGAGAAGAGGTGAAAGATAAAGAAAGCATGTTACACTTAGAAGATTACAAAATATCTTCTATATGCTGACAACGTTTATTACTATATAAATACATTTGTGTGACCGATATAAAAACTTAAAATATTGATACATACACTGTTATTCGCTTACAAGGTCTCTTTTGTAGTTAATAAGTCTTGAATTTATTGATCACTTGCATTAACGCTTGTTATCAATCTTGAAAAGGCTATAGGTCATTCTTCGATACAGTGCTTTTTTAATCTCTTCTATATAAGTCAATTGAATTTTTATCGAAATCATTTTTTAATATGAGACTCTTCTTTCAATAAATGTTAAAAATAACTTGTGTAATTCTAAACAACGCTTTACAAATCCTTATTAATTTCTACAAATTCTCTTTACAAAGTGGTTTTTACTTGTTGCTATTATTGTGGGATTCAGACAGAGAGAAATATAAAACTGATGATGATATAATATAGTTTATTAAATTATAATGATGTTGAGCGTTATTTACAAAAGGTTTACAAAAAAGTGGTGTGGTTACAAAAATATAGAATACAAAAGAACTATGAATATAAGACCGACTGACTGACTAATAAACTGATAAACTGATTGATAAAATACGCAGACGAATATAATAGACTGAAAGTATAATTATTAAACTGAGAACTAAGGACTAATACAGACGGATATATGGATGTGCAGATTGATACAGATTAAGAACTGATAGACTAAGGAACTCGAATACTAAAGACTCTCACATATTTATATCATAAATGAGTAAATCCCTTTGGAGAGAGAAGGAGATTTTGAATATTAATTTTATCGTCTACGATAGTGTATTTAAACAAGAAATAAAATAAAGAAAGAACTACATATTAATTATATCGCCGATATTATAAAAAATAGATATGATCCTCTGAATAATATTAATATCTTTAAGAGCCAATAGTGTTTATAAGTTAGACCATAATTTATTTTATCTGGAATTATTGTATTATCATTTCTATTTTTTCTTGTTGTTATTTTATTTCTAATTCAAGAGATTCCTTCTGAAGAGTTTTATTCTTCTCTCTTTAATTTTCTTTTTCTCTTTCTTTCTTTCTTTCTTTCTTTCTCTCTCTCTCTCTCTCTCTCTTTCCCCCTTTTCCCTATGTCATCTCCCTACGTGTTTCCAGTTTTTGCCCCCACTTTTCCTACACTGCTCAGTATCACCACGCCGCTTCTGGACCAGTCGCATTTCGTACGTCGTACGAACGAGTTTAGTATCAACGTGTTTATTCGTGTTTTATCTTTATCTGTAGTGTATTTTCGGGTAGAGATAGAGAAAGAGAGAGAGAGAGAGAGAGAGAAAGATTAAAGAGAAAATAAGTAGAAAATAACATAAAAAAAAGTAAACGAAACAACAACAGAAAAAGATACAACGCTTTGAAGATCTAATTCGTGAACTAGAATAATTGATGATTGAAAAATATGGACATAAAATTGGTGTTATCGTTATTATCGCGATGAACATTATAATTCGTCGTACGAGAATGGCACATAAAACTTTGTCAGTGAAGAAGAGATCGTTCTTCTTTAGGAGGATCATTAGGAAAAACAAATCATTTGTGACAAGTGTTTGACGTAATAATTTCTTTTTGACGCGATTCGTCAAAATCTCGAACCTATTTTCGTGCATTTTTTTTCGTCTTCTTTTCGTTGTTGACATTTTTTTTCTTAACCTTTGGACGTTTCTCTTAATTTCCCCCTCTCTTCTGTCCTTCAACCCTTCCCTCACTTTTTCACTGCCATCAGAAACAAATCAGCGAAAGAAGAATTGGGCGCGCGACCCTAAAGCGGATTAATTTTCGTTTTATTGTGTATTTTATACTTTACTACCCCCTTTTCTCTTCGCCCCTTTTTATATGTATATATATATATATTTTTTTTTTCGTTTTATTATATATTGCTGTTAAACTTACGAACTTAATAGATAAAACGCGCGAGTTTAACGAAACGGTGGAGAGGGCTGTTTAAAGTGCGGGAGCATATATGTGTTCGTGTGTGATTGTGATACTATAAAAATACGTGTGGAATAATTTGTGAACCATTTAAAGAATTATATCTAAAGGAGAAAATTATCTCGATTGAACGGGTCCAGCGACGACGTAACATGTTGAATGAAATCGTCCATGTTTTAATTGAACAACTTTAAATTAACGAATACTAGATAGGACACTGAATTTTTGTCTTCTTTATAAATGATTTCTCTTTGTTCCTTCTTTTTTTTTCATTTGATGTACGTAATCAATAAAATAAAAACACGTAGGACGACAAATGATCGCGATATTTCATAGTTGCGCGTTGAAAGAGTAGGGACACAAAGAAAAAAAAGAAGAAAAAAAAGAAGAAAAAAAAGAAGAAAAAAAAAAGAAAAAAAAAAAGACATTTTCACGACGTAAATTCCATATCATTCATAATTTATACGTACGCGTGTACGTGCGAAATTGTGATTTTAAACGAGACTGATTGACTTATTTTATCACTTAGAAAATTGTTTCAAATTATTATATTAGATTGTTAAAGTATAAGACGTTCAATATTAAGTATAAACGATTTATCGACATATATATATATATATATATATATATTTTTGTTGTATTGCGTGTTCTCTTGTGTGAATGTGTTATCAAGAATACGGTGTACATATATAAATGTATAGACTTATATAAATATATGTGAATATACATATATTTTATTATAAAAATAATAGATATAGATAGTTTGAACATTATACTTTTTATACGTGAATACGAGAAGCGCACGGAAACGGTGTGATTATTCTTATTGTTGTTATTATTATATATTGTTATCAATGTTATCAAAAGCACATCAACGCAAAATGTTTCTCGGTGGTTACGTCTACGGTAATCAAAACCAGAACAATCAACCTTCTTCAGCCAGGGGCAGCATTTGGGGTAGTGCTTATAGTCCATTTCGAAAGTAAGTTGGTAATATATTCAAAAATAATATGCCACATGTATGTTTATCATTTTTATAGACGAACAATACAAATGTTCCAGTGTAGATATTTATTATAAAGAGGATTATATATTTAATTAATTTAAAACATATGTTCTTAATTAGTATCTGTTTCGAAACAGATTGAATTGTTTGTTTCAAATTTTCTAAATCTCAAGAAAAAAGTGCTTTATCGTTTGTATGTTTTTTTGTTTGGTTATCAATTTCAGTACGTTCGTTTTTTATTTTTTCTAAAAATTTGTTTATTGATAATATAGTAAATCCGGTGATCACTTAAATACGTATATCGTTTCTTTGAACATAGTATTAAAGTATTATTGCAGTTATTGTCACGAGAATAATCATTACGCTCGTTTAAACACCCACGCAATGAAAGATACGAATTCAGAGAGTTTCGAGTTGGTATAGAACGAAGAATGAATCGAGAAAACGAAGTTAATTGTTTAACTCGAATGATAATTCGTTTAACGACCTGATAATTAAAAAGACTTTGCATATGCACCGTTGACCTGCATCTCTTCATCATAATGTACTCGTCCAACGAAGTGCGAAAGAAACTTACTGCATTAGAGTGTATATAATTATATAAATTATATATGTATCAGTCGGAAATAGGCGAACAGTAGGAGTTAAACAAATTAGAAATTGTTAAACTTTTCATGAATCATTTTTTTTCAAGACGTTCTTCTTTTCCACTTTGATTTTTTGTTTTTGTGTTTCCGTTGTTTACTCGTCTTCATTATTTCGTGTAAGCGATTTATCGATACTATGACTTATTTTCACAATAGAGATACAATCATCCTTAACCTTGTAGGTACGGCTGAATTCTGTTTCGTTCACTACGCGAGTCATTGAAATAAAGTATTTGATGATTAAAAATTATAATTTTTCTTAAGAATATAATGCACATACTATAACTTTGACAATTTACTTTAATTATTAATAATATGTTCTGAAAGATGACATCTGCGAAAACCCACTATAGTGGCGCATCGTGCCGAAGAGGTTAAAGATATATTTCGATACACTTATCGAATTTGTGAATATATATGTAGATATATATATATATATATATATATATATATATATATATATATTTGCTTAACTCGTTTATTTAC